GATGGGCATGAGACCCGAACACGACCCGATCAAGTCAGAGTTTTTTTAAATGAATTGAGTTTAGGTCGGGTTGAGTTTTTTAATATGTTGTTCAGGTCGGTCGAGTTCGAATTTAGGGTGAAAAATACTCGACCCGACCCAACCCGAAAAAAATATATAATTTTATCTTATATATTTAAGAATAATTACAATAATACCCCTCTATAATATTTTTTTCAATTAAATCATTGTTTTTTATTGAATAAAATAATATTTTATTATTATTTCCGGTCGGGTTAGGTTGGGGTTTAAGTTAAATATCGGGTTAGTGAAAACTTGTTTTGGTCGAGTCGGGTGGACCAAAACCAACCCGACCCGACCCATGCTCATCCCTAGGATTGATAGAGACGATCATCCTTTGAAATGTTTTATTTATATTTTTATTGATGATTTATTTTCATATCATTTAAAATTTTATAAATTCGTTTTTTAAAATTCTATAAATTTTGAAATCAATTTTTGTAAAAGAAATAAAGCATATATAATTATTATTTAAACTAAAAGTATGGATCACAATTTTACCTAAATATGATGGTTTTTTTTTGACCCAAATTGATCCAATAGGGTCAATTTTTTTAGAAAAAAAATCGAGTTCGGGCCAGATTTTTAAGGGATGATGTCGAGTCGGTCGAATTTTGGTGGAGGGTGAAAAAATATGACTCGGCCCCACCCGAAGATAATAAAGTATTTTTTAAAATTATTATTATTAATTACATTACATCCTTATTTTATATCAGGTTGGGTCGGGTCGAATTTATATTTTAAAATTCGGGTCGGGTCAAATTATGAAAATATATATTTTTCGGTCAGGTCAGGTCGAATGAAAAATATATGATTTTCAGGTCAGATCGAATTCCGATGGCACATACATATTTTCATATCATATCAAGTTGATCAAAAATCCGACCCTGATCCGACTCGTGCCTATCCTGGACTAAAAGCTAAATATAGATATTACATAATAATATAAATATTGTTTTCAGTAACCCTCCCACAGGGTCAAATGGCTGAGATAATGTAAGTGATATTTTTTAATTCCTAATACAATCTAATATAGGATTATTTCTCCCATCTAGGGTGAATTATGCACAGTACCAACTTAAAGACGTCAGGTGCTCCAAGCGTATTCAAGCCAAATATGAAGACTCCAAAGACTGCATGACGTTTTCATGCAAATGAATACGATTGCATGGCGTCTCAGGAAAATGGAGAAGACCCATGAGTGCACGACGTTTTAGACCAATAAAAAATCTTATTTCAAGAAATAATATGGTGAATATCTTATATAAGAAAATTATTTTTTTACAACCCTATATGGGCGAGGAATCCCTCCCAAAGGTCTTAAAGCTAAAAGCCAACAACATGCTGCATTGTCTTTAAGGGAAATTTTAACCTAACTTTGATATGTTTGCGGCATATAATAAATGCACTATTTTATTCCATTAGTATTCAAATAAATTAATAATATCGGTTTGATTATTTAAATGAATGTTATATTCTTTTAAATAAAATTATAAATTTAAATTTTAATATTATGAATAAAAATTAAATTAAAAAAATATTTCATACTGAACTTTTAAAAATACAATCTGAATCAATTTAATTAATAGATCAAATATCGAATGTTATAAAAATATTCAAATGAATAGCATACAATGTATATATGTATGCATATATGTATGTATGGTATGTATGTACATGAATATATGTATGTATTGTAAAAACTAGCATACAATATTTTGAGTGTTTGTGTTTGACGAAAGCAACGCTAAATCCCTAATTTAGGAAAGGGTAAATTACAAATTTCATCATTAAACTTTACTCTCTCTTCTATTTTGCTCATTTAACTTTAAAGGTTTTCAATTTTCTCACTGAACTTAATACGTTAGATTTTTTTGGTCATTAACTTTACTCTCTCTCCTATTTTGGTCACTCGCTCGTTAAATAGTTAACAACATTAAAAACGACGCCGTTTTAAAAAAACAAAAGTTTCACCAAAATGACGTCATTTTACATCTATATAACAACCCATTTTAATGCCGTTAACTATTCAATGGTCGAGAGATAAAAAAAACTAAATGTATTAAGTTAGTGAGAAAATTAAAAAGATTTAAAGTATAGTAAATAAAACAGGTGAGAGAGTAAAGTTAAGTTACCAAATTTATAATTTACCATTTAGGAAAATAAGAGTCCATTTGGAAGGGAGATCTTATCTTAATTCAAAGTCTTTTTCACTGTTCCCTCCTCTCCGGTCAAAACCAACTACTTCGATTAGTTCAGGTAAATGTTCCCATCACACCAATTACATAATCATATTTAAATGATCATTTTTAATTATTAAATATTTAAAAATTATAAAACAATCAGTAAATTTATCAAATTTTTATACTTAGCATAACATCACAATAATTATTTTGTAACAATGTGATGAATTGGAGGATCATTTTATAATTTTTAAAAAATTTATAATTAAAGGAATCATTGTTGTTCATAAAGGATACGGGTTCGAACACCAAAGACTACAAGGGTCATTGAACGTTCATTGTCAAATGATTAAGAGTACTTAGAACGTATACTACTTTGTAATAACTTTTAACATAATATCAAAATTAGCTCCAAATGTTTTTCACAATTGTCATTTTGATCAATATTCTTTTTTTCTTTTGTTTGGAGAGTTTGATTCTCACTTTTTCATTTTAGGACAAAAAATCTCCTAACGTTTGACAAAATGTCAAACTAATCACTTCGACTCTTTTTCTTATTTTTTAAATATTTTGACCCCTAACATTTTTATTTTAAGGTAAAAGTCTCTTATTCGGAACGTTAACCGTTTGTTAACTAATAATTTCCATTCGATATAATGACTTTTTTGCCCCAAAATTGAAAAGTTAGGGCTAGGGATGGGCATGAGTCGGGTCGGATCGGGTCGGGGTTGATTTCGGTTAACCCGACCCAACCTGAAAATATAAACCCTCCACCTAAAACCCGACCTGACCCGACCCGAGTTTAAGGGTGACCTGGCCCGGCTTTTTGAGATAAAACCCGAACCCAACTCGACCTGATACAAAATAAATTTATTTATAAAATATTATTTTTATTCAACAAAAATAGGGATCTAATTGAAAAAGATAATATATAGAGATTTATTATTATAATTGTTTCTAAATATACAAGCTAAATTTATATTATTTTTTTAGGTTGGGTCGGATCGGATATTTTTAACTCTAAACCCGAATTTAACCTGACTCGAACAAATTTTCTAAAAAATTCAACCCGACCCCAACCCCTAAACCTAAAATATTTTTAAAATCTAATATGATTAAATCAGATCAGATCGAAATCTATCTGGTTCAGATCTCGTACTCTTTAATCAGGGTCAAAATAATTCAAAAAAAAATATAGAAATGAAAGTGACTATCCAACAAAATGTTACTAACATTATTGGACATTATGCCAAAAAAAAAATTAAGTGGCCAAAAACTACAAGTACCACAAACCTTAAATCTTACCCAAAAAAATCACAACGTTGCATGGCTCAAGATTTGCCAACTGCCCCCCTTCCACTTCAATTATCACGTCTACCTAACAGAGAACACACATGTAGGTAATCCTCTCTTCATGCTCCTTCACCACAGCATCCAACCACCATCCCCCATGATCTTCCATTTGATTTGTGGACCCTCTCGAATAAAAAAGTACGATGACTTAAAATTTTCAGAAAACACGTGCCTCCGATCTATTCCTCCATCTACCCCCGAACCAATGGCTAAGATCTCTCCATTTGTATCATCTCTTTTTAGGTTTGCATCCATGGGGTCCCCCCCTCCCCCATGATATATATTTTTTCCCTTGCCGGAATTATTGAACCCTTTGTCTCTTTGCTCCTCGATCCCTCAAAAACAATGGTTTTCGAGTAGTTTTCGAGTGCTTCAAGGGACACTTGGCGATGAAATAAAAGCTATAACTTGTAAAGAAAAGAATGCTTAAATGATTGATGTAACGTGCTTCAAGGAACCTTGCTTTTTTTTCCCTTCTGTTTGGGTGGAAAGAAAAAAAATATGCCAGCCGAGAAAATGTCCTTGAAGTTCATTTCCCCACGCATTCGAGGATCATGGGGACAGACAATGGTGGGAACATGGGGATAGGTAATAAGAGAGTCTAACCACATTCTTAAATCTCACAAATGACAATAAAGGTAGCACTACTATGGGGTTATCATGATTCCATCTTATGAACTTTGAGAGTATTTTTTATATAATCATCGTTATTTAATTTATCGACTAACGTAAAGGTCTATTATTTAAAATATTAATTATATAAAGGTCTTTCTCGTATGGATAAGTAAGATTTATAATGTTACAATATCATCTAAAATTATATAATATATTAATAATGTTATTTTTTAAAGAAGAAATTTTGAGGATAAAGTACCGATGAGAGTAATAAAAGACTCAATAAATTGACGAGAAGAAATAATTTGTAATACTTGCCGCTGAAAGATCAAATTGAATAAAACAAAGTTGAGGATTAAATTGATTTTTTAAAAGTTACATATATTATATATTTGATTAGATTGGGAAAACTCTACATCAAATTAATCCAATAGGTTTATGATTAAATTATTATTTTCATCCCCAAACCCTAAATTCAACCTTCTTTTATTATCCCAACACTGGCATTAGTTTATCCCAATATCTTAAAAGGGATAAAAATGTCAATAAAAGACTTTCCATTTCAAGCCAAGCAAAGTTAAACGTCACCTTCATCGGAATCTATACTTTTTGTAATATGACCGAATTACCAAGGTCATTTTCAAAATACATTACAATTACAAGGGCATTTCCGTAACAAAAAAATCATTACTCAGTTTAAATATCCGATCACACGTGTGGAAAAGACCGCACGTGCCACCTTCATCTTCCCTATAAATTTCTCCACTTTTCCCGGTTTCTTCCGAACGTATGCAGAGCGAGAGAGAGATGGAGAGTAGAGGAGGATGTTGTATAGCTAATAGATATGAAGCCTGTGGGGTTTACTATACGTCGAAAGTGGACCGGATAATGCTCCGGTTCCGACCGATCGCACCCAAGCCGGCGAACGACGGCGGTGGGTCGGTTTCCCCACGGGAAAACGGTGCCGAGGGTTATTGTAAACTGGGGAGAGGTAGGAGAAGACAGTCGAAAGAGAGTAATAATAATACAAAGAGGAGAAAAATGGTTACTTTGCCGCTTATATCTGAAACCCCAGACTGCAAGGACTCCATTTCCATGGAGAACACGACGAAGAAGATGAAGATGAAGACGACGACGATGCCTTTGTGGTTAAGCGTCGGTGAAGCCGATAAAACCGAGTTTCGGTTTCTTCGGCGACGGAGACGGTGAGCTGGTGAGGTCGTCGTGCGTGACGGACACTTGGGTTAACGGTGAAGGGTTGGGGTGTACCGACGAGGAGCGGAAGGTTAATCTAGGGAAGGACACGTGTCCGGGGTTTATGTCGGATATGTTCGGGAGGGTGACGTGGACCAACGGGGCGTATAAGGAAATGGTAGGCGGCGAGACGACAGTGCGGTTGCTGATAAAGCAGAGTCCACCGCCGGTGATGGCGTTCGCGGCGTTCACGTGCAGGGTGAGGGTGCAACACGTATGCGGGAAGGATATTTATGAATTCGTTGACGGCGCCGTGTGACGTTTGGAGAATGAACGGAGGCGGATTCGCGTGGAGGCTAGACATCAACGCAGCCCTCTGCTTGGGCCGGTAAACACCCATTTCCGATGCATGAAGAAAGCTGCTTAGTTTACCATATGCATCCCTCCATCAACTTTCCTTGTAAAATTGTAAATATTTTCGTTCTTCCATCTTTGTTTTAAGTTTAATTTGCATGTTTTGATGTGCTTTGACGTTTCCCAGATTTTATGTTTTATTTTTGTTATTATAAAATATGGTTATTATGGATGATTTTTGTTTAATTTCAACAATTAATATTCGATTATTAATTGAATATTCTTATTCCATTCATTATAATCTTTAGTTTTATTTAAGACATCTTATGTTTATGTTCATTTGATTAATTGAATATTCGATTATTATAATGCCGATATTCATTGTTTTAGATTTTCGGATTGATTCAGATACGTATTTGCGTTCGTAAATAGTTCTCACGTCGCTTGACTCTGATTTACGATTTGTCAGTGGTCTTTAGTAGTTTTATCCCTTTTATGATTCGTTTATCGATACAGTCATATTTGTTAATATTTTTTTTTCAAAATTTGTTAGATTTTTTAATATTTTTTTGTCCTTATGTGATTTAAATGACTAGTTTTTGTGTCAATAATTATAGAAAAATACATTAATTATAATTTAATTTATGTTTACAATTAAGTTTATAAATCTTCATTATAATTTTGAATATTTTATATTTTTAATAAAATTAACAATTTTATATTATGACTGTCATAATAGCGTATGAGTAATAAAAATTAGGGTAAACTACATAAATGGTTATTGAGCTTTATAGGGTGCTTGCATTTTGATCACCATACTTTTCAAACTTGTAATACAATCATCGAACTCTTAGTTTGTTTTTGATGTCTCTAACGTCACCGAACTTTTAATTCGTTTTTGATATCTTTAATGTTACCTCCCGTTAGTTTCATCTGACAATAATATCTCGTTTTAAAAAGAAGAATTATAACCACTTTGAATGATCTCTCAAAATATTTGTGAGCTGGATAGAACCGTCGTACGAAAATGCCGGTTTTTATAGTTTTTTTTTTTGTAATACAAGATTGAAATGGAAATATTTCATTATGAAACCGAATACGGGACTATTCTTATTTGACATTCATATATGACACAGATCTGAACATGAATATAAACACAAACATGAACACAAACATGAACACGAGAATGTGGCCATTAACATTAGTCCTCAAACATTCCCTCATCTGATATGCTCTAACCCTACCTACAAACCAAGGCTTTCCCAACACGAGACTCCATTGGTAAAGCACTCATTCCTTCAATTCCACAAAGACAGCTCTAAACCTTTGCTCAGTCTGTTGTACTAACAATCTTTTATCTGCATATGTTTAACACTGATATACTTAATTCGTTTTAAACTTTCTTTTTATATAATTAAAAGATCGTATTGTCGACCGTCGTATGAGTCTGCAACGATAATGCTATTAGAAAACCCTGCAATGGAACATCCAAAACATGTACAACACGTTTTGATTTCGGAATTGGATAAAAGTGAACTTTGCAACTAAATCATCCTAGACCAAGATTTCGTAACCTGATATCGAAGTCGATGCAATAATAGGATTTTGGTATCGAACCTGGCTAATAGGGCAAGTCTCCTTCAGGAAGGTCCCAGTTATCATCTTCATCATAATTCTTCTTAGGGCCTTCTTCTTTGGCTTGTGCGGAAGCCTTTGGTTTAAAGCGTCTGAAAACAGGCAAAAAAGGGATCGTTCAGTAAGCTATTTCCAGAGATCTATTGCTCCAAACTCCTTGAAACTGGATGGGAATTGGTCATTTTGATAACAAACCACTACTAGTGTTCGACACTCGTGTCCGAGGATATGACCGCACTAGTGGTTGACACATACCCGAGACCAAGTAACATAGGCTAAGACCACTTAAAATCTATGAAATGATTTGTTAGCTGTCAAGTGGTTCCTCAAAAGTTAAATCTTCATTAATAACTGTGTAAATAAATATGTAATTAGTTGCTTCTGTTCTTTGACAATCAAAAGTTGCCATGATAGGTTCTGCTTGATGTTGATGATCATTAGCAGAACACATACATATATTCAATTGACGTATTGAGAAATAAGCAACGTCGAACACGTACCCATATCCGAAGTGTTAAGACACATATTCGTACCCGAAAACTAAGCAGAGCCCAAGTAACATAGCGTAAGACCTCTGAAAAATCTATCTAGACTTTAAAAAACTTTAAAAGTCTTAAGAGTCACATCCTATGCTGATCATTAGCAGAGAACATACATATATTCAAGTAATGTATTAAATACTAAGCAGTGTTGAACTCGTAACCATATCCGAAACGTTGGACACATATCCATACCCGAAATTAAGCAGGGTCTGAATAACATAGCCTAAAACCTCTGAAAAATCTATCAACATTGTATAAAACTTAAGAAGTGTTAAGAGTCACATCATATGCTGCTCATTAGCAGAAAACATACATATATTCAAGTGACTTATTAAGCAATAAGCAGTGTTGAACACGTAACAATATCCGAAATGTTGAACACATAGTCGTACCCGAAAATTAAGCAGAGTTCGAGTAACATAGCCTAAGACCTGTGAAAAATCTATCTAGACTGTATAAAACTTAGGAAGTCTTAAGAGTCGCATCCTATGCTGCTCATTAGCAGAAAACATACATATATTCAAGTGACGTATTGAGCAATAAGCAGCGTTTAACACATACCCATATCCGAAGTGTTGGACACATAGTCGTACCCGAAAATTAAGCACAGTTCGAGTAACATAGCCTAAGACCTCTGGAAAATCAATCTAGACTGTATATAAGTTAAAAAAGCCTTTAGAGTCGCTCCCTATGGTAAGCAAAAGGAAAATGAATACACACTCATTTTTGCAACCAATCTGAATCACCATTATGCTTATTGTCTGCTTAACCTCTAAACCATTGCACAATAGAAGCCGAATTCTATAATCCATGGTGGGACTGGGAACTGGGACAATTGGGCAGGTTGTGTTGGTTCTCGACCGGGTCAATATGGATAGGATCAACTCGGACCGAGTTTTATCCAGTCCTGATAAACTTCGAAGTTTGGGTCAATTCGTATTCGAGTCATTCGGGTTCATAGTACTAAATTTTAGCCGCAACACCAAGAATGAACTGAGGGGTGCTGGGGAAGCGGTCACACCCCCAAGAATTTTCAAATTCCCTGATAATTAGATTTTTTTTGTATTTTCTATTGATTATCTAATTTCACACTCCTAAAATTTTATATGTCCGCAGCCCTTTAAACTTCTTATGTTCGCACCTACCGACATATATTTATGTGTCTGTTCCGCAGGAACACCGCTACATCATCGGAACTGCAATCACATCCATAATTCAAACTATGTTCAGGTTTGATGGGAGATCCTCAACAAAACTAATCGGAATTTCTATCTCAGGTCAGTGAACATGAAAAGCATGTTATAAATTTTCTTACTCACAGTGAGCACAATAAACCATCATCATCATCTGAGGCACTTTGATCGAGTTCCAATATCAACAAAACAAACCAACCAACCTTTTGCGGTTCCACGTTTCTTCTTCTCCTGCGAGCTCTCGAAGAATCGCCTCCTCTTGCACTCCTGGATGACGCCGGCCTTAAACACGGCCCTCCGGAACCGGTTCAACAGCTTCTCCTCCGGTTCATTCTCGGCCACCAACACCTGAACGTTATAGCAAACCGATTTGAAGAAAAGGGTGTTCGAATACGCCAGCGATGGACATGTTACGGCGTTGATTTCATCGGCCGTCGTCAAAGAGAGAGACAGAGAAGTCGGCGTCCATGTCGATTTGGGGTCCCACCGGGAAACCGGTGGGGCAAAATCTGATGGCTTCGGAAGGATTGATTGGGAAGGGAGGAGAGAGGAAAGTGATTTGCAGAGAGAAGCGAGGGAAAACGCCATTGATGATGACGATGATTTCTGTCTATGGGTTCCGACATTGGAATTGGATTCAGTGGCGGGTTAAAAAAATTGAGAATAGGGTTTAAAAATTTTAATTTATTTTTTCAAAATAACGAATAATTAAAATTCTTTTATTCTTTTATTTTTTAATAGATTAAATTAAACTTAAATATTTTTAAAATAATGATAATGGATTTAAATAAAAAAAAATTGAATTCAATTTAGGTCTTATATAAGATATTAGATCAGGTTGAGTTTAGAGTTTTTTAAACATTACACTTAAACCCGTAATCTCTAAAGATAATAATCATCACTTCAATAATTCAGATCACTGGAATTCATTCTAATACAATGTATAGTTAGAGTTTAATTAAAAATAAGAGTTAATTGTATTATATGTCCCCAAGTTATGACTCTCATTCCAGACTAGTCCTTGAACTTTTAAACATTTCAATTTCATCCCAAAAGTATTACTCTCATTCTAAATTAGTCCTCAACCTTTTAACATTTCATTTCCATTCCCCAACCAAGATCTTCATTCTAAATTGGTCCCCAAACTTTTGCATCTTCGATTTTATCCCCAAATTCATCCAAATAGGTAATCTATTTCAACCATAGTTTCTGGGGGCCAATTTAGAATGAAGATCATAGTTTGGGGATGGAAATGAAATGTTAAAAGTTTGAGGACTAATTTAGAATGAGTAATAGTTTTGAGGACTAGTTTAAAATGAGAGTCATAGTTTGGGGACTGCAATTAACTCAAAAAATAATTATTCAAATTATATATTTTGATTACTTTAAGTTTCTGATTTTTTTTCATTAAAAATTAAAATAGATATCTAATATTTATTCTGTAAAGTATTTAAAATTTATTTCGATATTTTTTAATATCATTTAGTCAACTATAGCTGAAAAAATTCATTCACTATCACTGAAATAATTTTGTTTAATATTTATTTTCTAAAAGTAAAAAAAATACTAAAATTCTTAAAGTTCCCTAAATATTATTATTTTTAATAAATCTCTAAATTCCCTTAAAAATTAAAAGATCAAACGACGAACAACCTTGTACGATAACGGAATAAACGTTAAACACTTATTTTTAAAAAAAAACTTTACATACCTTCTAATAAAAAAGAGTATAATTTAAATATAATTAGTGAAAATATAAGTTTTTTCTCAAAAATGTATTCATATTTACACCCACAAGGTGCTAACACTTTTGGCTTCGAGGGGACATGAACTGTATGTGAATCTGCTAGTACTCACCATTGGATTTGGGGATTTTGATTGTTCCCTTTGAAAGATCGGATGACAGGTTGATACTCTTGGCTTTGAATGTACTTTCTGCAGACTCCAGCGCTCGGGAAGCTAAAAGCGCCATCTCGGAATGTAGTCGGAGACACGATACCGCCATCTAAAATCGGAAAAGCTTTAGGCATTAAACAACATTCTGATAATTCGAATAATAGATGAAATGCGGTCGTTGTAATGTTCTTAAAAGGCATAGATCAGAGAGATGGAAGTCCAAGAACCGATGCAGAGATTCGTGACATCTCTTTGCTTACCGTATAGCATTCTCTATCGGTGTCCGAGTCTGCAACATGAAGGGCCCATGTACGGATCCATTCAAGCCCTTCAGAGATTTCGATATTTCCTTCAACCAGGGAAGATGATATAGAAGAGGGATGAAGAGCAACAAGGACACATGAAGCTGCAAAAAGAACAGCTCTTCTGACATATGCTTCTTTGTGATGGCTTACTTCCCTGCATTAACAAAATCGGGTAACGGCAGATTATCAAATTATGTACGCATGAAGATTTGAAATAAAATAGATGATGACCAAAACCACCGTCGAATGAACAAAGAATGACGCATGTTTTAATGTAGTCTCATGGCCGCACGCGTATGCGTCCTTCACGACCATGTGAAAGGGAATGACTAGCTTGCCAATATATATGTATCATCAGACACCAGATGTTGAGTCAAGTACCTGGATCTTAACATATCAAGAAGAAGGGGAGCCAAGACAGATGCTTCCGGATGCATCGATAGACATTTCATACAAACACCGAGCATATAGATGAGCTTTCCAAGGACAAGAAAGTCTCTACCAAGCAAGTCAACACCGTGCCTTTTCTTATCGAATCCCTGCATAGCTGGAAGCATAAATGCCGCCGCATATAGAGGAAACTTATTTTGAGACCATTCCATTTGGTTTTCATGTAGATTTCCCCGATCTAAGGCTCCATCTGCGGGTCTTTCCTCTCTTGACATGCCCACCTTTTAGTGGAAGTTCCCTTTCATATCGGTTTGACCAGTTTAGAAGGGTTCCTGTATCTGAGACCTGTTTCCAGGATCCAGCTCCTGGAGGCCCTGTATTGCTTGGCAAGAACCATGGTTGAGGTTCTGAAATGGTTGATATGAGGGGCCCTGTTTGATGTTTAGGTTTCACTGTTTTCACGTTGGCAAGCTCCTCTGCTGCCAGAGTCATGACATCGAGTATCATTATTCGTCGACTAACATCTACATTTGGAGAATATAATAGTTTGTTTAGAGTATCAAGAGATTCAAATGGACGCATGACAACGATTGCTACTAAAGCTCTTTGCCGCTTCTCTTCAGCCGATTCTTCCTCACCTTCAACAGCCACATTGGAGCAACGAACCTGTACAAGAGTTTGAGCAAGATCACCTGCTAAATGTGTTAGTTCATCAGGTGATGCTCGTATAAGACTTTCAGCAACATCTAGAGCCCTCTCCACCTGCAGTGTAGAAAACATACAAAATCGATACTTGAATGAAATTTGGATTGTCATTGTACTTAAAAATTAAAAATTAAACCCTTAATTTTCCAATTTAAAATTGTAGTCTAATTGCTGATAGCATTAATATTTTCCATCAATATCCATGCAATCATACCAAATTTGGGAGCAAATAATAGTCAGTTGAGCAGCTGAAGGAAAAGAAAAACCCAATGCAGTAGCTGATATAAAAAATTTCTAACAGTTATTACTCTCTTCATAGTCCGTATCAAAGTTTAGACGACATAGATAACATAACACAAACTGAATAATAGTAATGAACACAAGAATGAACGGTGAACTCAAACTTACCCCGTCAGCATCATCAGATTTCCTTAAGGCTCCAACCACATAAACCAACTGTGAAAATTTTCTTTTCAGATCCGTGTCATCATCTGTCAAGTCATATGGCTGCAGAGAGGAGTCACTTGAATCAGAATTCTGACTTGCATTATCATCATCGTTCTCATCTGAGGCTGATTCATAATTTAGAGTAGCTGGATCAATAATCTCATCTGGATCAACCAAACTGAACTCAGAGGATTTCTTGCTTTTACTCTTCACGCCACTGCCTTTCCCAGTGCCAGCTGTTTGGAGCGTCCCTGTTCCATCAATTTTATTTTCTGCATTTGAATTCAACAAGCTCCCTTTCTCAGAGGTGGTTAATCCAAACTCCCAGTCAATGCTCTCCCCATTGCAGCTGTCATCAAGATATAGAGGATTTTTTGGGTCAACTATTTTAGAGAATACTAAAGCTATAGTGCTAGCCATTTTCCACACCGGGTCTGCAGGACTCTCCAGCCTACCTGTTAACAGCAAAGATTTTTAGTGCAAAAGCCAGCAACAGCCTAAAATCCAGGACAATTTGGTAGCAAAAGTTTCAAGAAGTTACAGCTGACTCCTTGGAGAATTGAGTGCATTACATCCTTTGTCTTCTCTAGTTCCTCTTTGGACATCTTCTCCAAGCAAAGGCCTAAAGCAGCAGTTATATCTGTTTTTCATGTTAAAGGGAAAAAAACATGAAAAATTGAAGACGAGAAAAGGAATGAGTATGGAAGGAGGGCCAGAGAGAAGCATAGCACAATATGTGTATGTTATGAGTTTTTGTATTTGTGTGTGTGTGTTTAAACTCTAAAGCATGGTCTAGTTTATCTACAAAACATGCAATTTTTTTTATTGGTCAATATGCATGATTTCCTTACAGTTCATGTCTTCTGTTAAAAGTATAAGGTTTGATACTTCTCTTTCTTACAAGTAAAGGTATATCTAATGAAAAAATTGAGTCTAGTGCTAAAGTGCAGGCATCTGTAGGCACACACCTTGACAACTCATATTTAGAAGAAAGTAACTGTACAAATATATGATTCCCACAATAACAGTGAAGTTTCTACAGCTTGCATGTCAAAGAATTTTCAACCAAATTAAGAACTTTTAATTTGATGTGCCAAAGAAGCAAAGGATACAAGCTTGCTGCTCTAGTGGAGCTGATTGCACAAAGTCTCTTTTTGACCATACAGCAGCCAGGTGTTCCGCTGTGTGTAAAAGACAATTGGTGGTTTCATGACCTTTAGTTTGCAAATTATTAATGGGCGAGTAATCAAGGACAGCAAATTGCAAGATCCACCGGAGGCAACAAACAGGAAACACTTTCCACAGCAAAGATTTGTCAATAAACATGGACCTGAGAAAGAAAAGTAAGAAAAAGAACATCAGCTATACAGAAACAAAGAAGTACAATGTGCTAATCTATTTATCTGCATAGTAAGAAATACTTCCGCATTGCACAACAACTTGCACGCCGCACAGTTCACCTAGAGAAACCAAGAGACCTATTATGGTTGGATATCCAAGTTTCAATTACCTTCTGGATAAATATACAACCAAGTCCAACAAAGGAAAAGAAATGAAAGGTTCATTCTCCAATTTATTGTATTCGAGAATGTCAAGTTGCATGCAAATTATCCAAGTTAATGTCATTAATTATAATGATTTATGACCACGCAATGGTCATTTCCTCTGGACTGAATGACCCAGATGCAATAAAAGGATCATTCCAATTGAATAATGCATATTGTCAGCTACACTTGAACAAAAAAATTGACATAACAAATGTTCACTGACCTGACTGATGACTGAACTTGTAGTAAATGATGAAACAATATCCAAATAAGCTTCAATATCACTTGCTCGTTCAGTTGCAAGCTGACGCAAAAGCTGTTCTGCAACTCTTTCA